GTGCTGGTTTCCTGCTATGTAGTCAGAATTTTGACTTGTCTTGGAACCTGTTTTGGAGGTCATAGCAGGAACTAGCACGTTTGAAATTTGCATTGCTGATGTTAGCTTTATGTTTTTAAGATATATTACCAAAGAAGATTTTAGCTAGTAAATATCTGAAAACGCTTAAAGAGAAGAGGGAAGAAGAGGAGGAGGAGGAGAATGACAACAACGATGAGACTGATGACGATGAAGCAGAATCCTAAAGCAGAAAGAAGTGCTTTAGAGATCAGCCTGGTGAGGACCCTCATGGATCAGCACCTTTGCTCTGGAGCAGGCATTAGTCTGTTCACGCTTCGGAGACTTCACGTACATGATGTTCTTTCCTGGCTGAGACCAAGCATAATGTACCTCTGCCATAAATAGCCCAAAGGAAAGGAACACAGACAGTAGCTTCTCTTCCCCAGGCCCACACTGCAGCTGGAGTGGGAGAGGACCAAGAAGGGGCTGCGTACCGTGAGACACAGCCAGCCTGCAGCTGTAAGCTATAGAGGCAAAGACAACTTTGCTTAACTTTCTAGTTTACAGATAGATTTTGAAGAACTTCTAAATATCAGTGTGTAAATTCACATATGTATATTTTGAAATTCGTTCTTGTGAACAGCTAGATCCTGTTTTAGCTAAATGTGTAGTCTCTGGGTAGTATGTTACATTTGAATTTTCGTATTTGAAGAAAATTTATGGCTTTGTATATGTCCAAATACTGCATTTTTTTTAACTGTAAAGAAATAAATTTTTCTTTTTTAAAAGCTGTATATATTTTTATAGTGAAATGTTTTATGAAACTAGTTTTAGAACCCTCTATTATTCTAATGCCCTTCTTATTATCTGGAAACATTTGTGAAATTTTAAAATGAGTACTTTCTTCTTTTTATTTTTCCTTTTTATTGGCGGCGCCGTGAGGCATGTGGGATCTTAGCTATCCAACCAGGGATCGAACCCACACTCCCTGCAGTGGAAGCGCAGAGTCTTAACCACTGGACCACCGGGGAGGTCCAAAACTGAGCACTTTCTAATACTTTTATTCCTGGAGAAAAATTTCAAGTCAAATTATTAGATCAAATACAGTAAGAAATATTACCTCTGTGTAAGCACGTTTTTCTTAAAAAATTATAAAGCATTTTGTATATTGAAGATCTCGTTTTACTGTTCCTTTCTTTACACCTATAGTAGTTGTCTTTACTGTCCACAAGAGAAAACCATAAGCCCTATTTTTTTTCACATAGGGTAAATTTTGGCTTTTGCCTTTTCTTTTTTTTCTTCCAATTGAGTTCGAATTTTCATCCAGTAGAATCACCCTTTAATGTCCATTCTGTTGGTTGTGTAAGCAATCAATATATAGAACAGTTCCATCACCCCAAACATTCCTCTGTATACCCTTGGAGTTAGTTCCTTCCCTTATCCCCAGGCAATCAATCACTGATGTTTTCTGTCCCTCTTGTTTTTAAAATTTATTTTAAAATCCACCTTTTGGTGTACAGTTCTGAGTTTTGACAGATGCAGAGTCATGTAACCACCACCACAATTAAGATACAACAGTTCTGTCACCTCCCCCAAATTCCCTCATGGTTAAACTCCTTCCTACCCTTTACCTTGGCAGCCACTGATCTAGCTGTTCTCTGCCCCCAGAGGAGGAGTCAGCAGACATTTTCTGGAAAGGGCCATGTGGAAAATACTTGAAGTTTTATGGGCTACATAATCTCTGTCACAACTAGTCAACTCTGCTGTTGTAGTTCAAAAGCAGCCACAGTCAACACATACAGGAATGAGCGTGGCTGTACGTCAAGAAGACTTTATTTCTGGACACTGAAATTTAAATTTTATATAATTTTAATGTGTCATGAAATCTTTTGCCTTGTTTTCAACCATTTCAGAATGTAAAAGCCATTATTAGCTTATAGGCCATACAGAAACACAGCAGGCCACATTTGACCCACAGACCATGGTTTGCCCACCCATCTTTCCAAAGCGTCATATAAATGGAATCACATAGTAGTAGCCTTTGAATCTGACTTTTTTATATTTAGCAGAGTGCATTTGAGATTCATCCATGTTGTTGCAGGTATTGGCAGTCTGTTCTTTTTTATTGCTGAGTAGCATTCCTTTGTATGGATATACCATTTGTTTATCCATTCCACAGGTGAATGGATAATTCCCAATTTGGGTTGTTTCCTGTTTTTTCTTTTTCTCCCTTTTTTTCCTTTTAAAAGTCTCAAAAATTTTTCTTGTTTCCGGTTTTGATGATTACAGATAAAGCCCTATAAGCCTTTGGCACAGGTTTTGTGTGACCACACGACTTCATTTCACTTCGGTGGAATTGCATACTTCATTTTACCAGAAACCACCAAACTGTGTTCTAAAGCGTCTGTACTATTTTGCATTCCCACCAGCAGTGAACCAGAGCTTCAGCTGCTCTGCATCCTCTGCAAAACTCGGCATCAGTTTTTATTGCTTTAATTTTAGCCATTTTAGTGGGTGTTGGTTTTAATTTGCATTTTTCTAATGACAAATAATGTTGAACATCTTTTCATTTGCTTGTTTACTGTCTATATATTTTCTTTGAACTGTCCAGATCTTTTGCTCATCTTTTTACTGGGTTATTTTCTTTTTGTTGGGGTTTCAGAGTTTTATATGTTCTGAATACAAGTCCTTTGCTAGATTATGTGATTTGCAAATATTTCCTACCTGCCTGTGGCTTGTCTTTTCATTCTCTTAACAGCATTGTTCAAAGAACAGAAATTATTTTTTTGAGAAATTCTTAATTTTGAGGAAGTCCATTTTATCACTTTGTTCCTTTGGGGATCATGCTTTTCTTGTTGTATATAAAAACTTGTCACCAAACCCAGAGTCACAAAGATCTCCTGTGTCAGTGTCTTTCAAATGCCGAACTGCCTTCAGTACCTCTGCCTATAATAACGTGATGCTGTTTAAGAAATGCCCAGGAAAAATGGTTTTTGTGTGTAACCAGCTGAAACATCCTTAACCTGTCATAAGCCCTTCAGATCCAATTATGTAGGGAGCTTTCATCCTTCTCAGTTCCTTCTTAAACCGCGTGCTAGTCTAGTACAGTAGCTTCCTAACTGGTTTCCTCACCATCTTTACAGCCTGTTTCCTCTTCCCATCGTGCATGCTGCTATCAGATCATCAAAACAATTTTATGAAGATTAATCTTTTTTTCCTGGTAAGAAGCGTTAATAACAGCTGATATTGGAGTAGCCATTGGGGGCTGAGCCTCTTCTGTGTGCATTGTGCACTTTCATCTAAACTTCACGACTTGCAAAGTATCCATATTTTGCAAAGAAGAGAATGAAAGCTCAGGTTAAGGAACTAGTCCAAGGCACACCTAGGAAGTGGTGGAACTAGGATTCAAATCCCAGACTACCCTCTTCACTGGAGCTTAAACAGTGTGGTTTTCTCTGCACTGTCAACGGGGTCAATTCTTAACTTGGCAGTCGAGGCCCTGGACACTGGTCTTACTCTGCTTTGTATCCTACTGTTTTCCTACATTAACCTTCCATTCCTGCCGAGATGGGCTCCTTGTCCTCTGTGGCGCGTAAAGATCCCTTGTACGTCCTCTGATCAAGGAGCTGTTTTCTTTTGTGAAATCTTTTCCTAATTCACATAACGTCACATCATCGTACGCTGTTTTTACACTTAGGTTTTCACAGTCAGATCATGACTGCTCTGGCCATCCACTGAATGATAGTGAGATAACGGGAATGTAACAACGTAAGGCCATATTTATTAAGTAAGGATACTGTAGGTCTCTCAGCAGTTTGTGTGTATTCTTTCAGTTTCAGCTAGAATGTCCCAAGGCCTGTGGGCACCAAGATGCTTTGTGGTTTTGGATACCAAGAAGTAAGAAGTACTAGGTCCTGTATACATTAAGGGGAAAAGAAAAAAAGAGAGAACTACATCTTGATTTTATTAGGGGGAAAAAAAAGCCTGGAACAGAATACACCAGAGTGCTAAGAGTAACTACCTCTCAGTGTTGTGATTACAGATAATTTACAGTTTCTATCTTTATGTTTATCTGAATTTTTACATTGTCTGTAATGAACACATTCTCTATTTTACTTATTTATCTTTGGCTGCGTTGGGTCTTTGTTGCTGCGCGCGGGCTTTCTCTAGTTGCGGTGAGCAGGGGCTACTCTTCGTTGTGGTGTGCGTGCTTCCCATTGTGGTGGCTTCTCGTAGCAGAGCACGGGCTCTAGGTGCGTGGGCTTCAGTAGTTGTGGCACGCAGGCTCAGTAGTTGTGGCTCGCGGGCTCTAGAGCGCAGGCTCAGTAGTTGTGGCGCACGGGCTTAGTTGCTCTGCGGCATGTGGGATCTTCCCGAACCAGGGCTTGAACCTGTGTCCCCTGCGTTGGCAGGCGGATTCTTAACCACTGCGCCACCAGGGAAGCCCTATTCTTTTCTTAAAAACATTTTGCGTAAAAATCAGAAAATAGCTTTGGCTGTTTCAAAACAAAACAAGAACTTTGGCCTGCTTTAGCAACAATGTGCATCCTAGGGATTTTCCGCTATTTTTTTGGTTTTCTTAACCCAACCCTCCTTTCCTTTCCCAACACCACGTATTCTTTCAGTACAGACAGAAGTCAAACACCGCCCAGAGGGAGGTCACCAGGCCCAGAACCCCAGATATGGTCAGCTTTGATTCCCATACAACATGGAGCTCAGGGCTTTGCACTCGATTGGGGTTTAGCTGAATGACTTTTTTCTTCTTCTTATGGCTGCTAGAGTAGGAACACCCAGCTCATCCTAGGTACCACATTTGTTCAATTCATTCCTGATGCTTTTATCCCCAGACCCCGAATTCTCAGGGGCCCAACGTATGGAATAAGGCTCTAGACTTCTATCACCAAAGGCGTGCTTCCACCTCAGAAGCCTGGAACCTTAACCCGTATGGAAGGAAGTCCCCAAATAAATATGTGAGTAAACAGAAGATCTCTGGGCGAGGCAGCTGTAAATACGAGGAATTTTATTTTATTTTTTGCTGACATCCTATGAGGCAAAACAAAATTGACACCATACAAAATAACTTTATAAAATATCATTCACATCATATTGTATCAGATTTACAGCATTCTGTGCATGTTAAGGGTTATGTAAGGAGGTGAAAAAAACACTATGCCAAACTTTTTAGTATTAGTTTATATACACACAGTAAGAAACAAAACAAGTAACTGTTAGGTTTTCCATGAATTTATTGCAAAAATAGTGCAAACTACTTAACCTAGTAAGCTGTAAAACAAACTCTAAAGGACCCAGCTAAGCTTAAACACGACAATAGATGCTCAGTGTCTCAGCCTTTAGCTTTCTTCACCAGTTTAATCTTTGTCAATCAAGACCACTCCCCGTCTGTTCAGTCTGGGGTGAGTGCTGGGGAACAGAGAAGTGTGAAGACCGGCTCTTCAGAGCCCAGATGGATCCGGCTGCCTAGTGCCAGCAATACCTTTAGGATCATGCTACTTACTCAATGGCAATTTTGTGAGGTCTGTGTTGAAAACATTAAGATGCTATGATGTTTAAGTCTGACCTTAGAAATAAGTCGTCCAACCTCTTGATGATATGGAGAAAAGAATTAAGAAAGCAGCATGAACAGAAAGGATTGGGAACATTATTGTCTGCTTATAAACATGGTATCCTTTTTCTCAGGTGTATTTGGGTATAAAGTATTAATCTCCTGGTGGGCAACCTTTGAACCAGATATTGCAGTACGTTAAAAAAAAAAAAAAAAAAAAAAAAAAGATACTGTATCCCTACAAGAGTAACTTTAAAATCTCTTTTAACAGTCTACTGGGGTCCAAAAAGCATATATCTAAACAAAATCATAAGAGCAGAACAAAATGCTACGTATAAAAGCTAAAGAAACAAAATGCAGCATATTCAGGTTCTTTTTCTTGAGGTACCTATATAAATTTAATCACCTGCCCCAAAGTACTCTTGTTAGGTAAAAAACAAAATGCTTACTGGTGAGCCAATTGTAGGGCATTTATTATTATTGAGAAAGTGCAACAACGCTGATCTTTACATGCAGCATACTAAAGGATGATTTACTCTTTACAAAATATAGCTTAAGTATTGACCTGATGGAATTTTAAAAATTAAAAACATTTAACTAGAATCATCCCAATTTTTTTGAGATCCTGAAGCGAAAAGCCTCCCAAATCAACTTTCAAAGTTATGCCACTAAGGAATGTTGGTTCTCTTGTAAAATTCAGAGATCTCTTTAAAATAGTAAAACTATATACTACAGGAAAGATCCCTAATTTTTATTTCTCATTGGTATAAAATCAAATTCTTAAGACTCCAAAATATTGTGTTACCTCCAAAGAATTACGTTAAAAAAGATTGCCATAGTAGGAAAAGTCTAGACTTGTAAACTGCCAAATATAAAAGCATGGAAAGTCATCGATCTACCCGATTTTCTCACCTGCCAGAAAGCTTTCCTAACTTACAGAAACCCTGGGGCTGCTGCTGCAGGCAGCACCCCTCCCCTGCCCCCCCTTCCACGGCCAGTGGCCCTCCCTTCCTCTGTCTATGGTCACCAACACCCACACCAGGAGGGTGGGAGAGATGAAATCAACAATAGTCCATTCGCTGCTTATGAAATAAACTTATAAAATACGCCAGAGGAAGGCCGGGAGGGCACGTGTGGTGAAAAAGCAATGACAAGAGTGTTCGTGAGTTGGTTTTGGCCGCCCCTTCATTGGCACAGAAAATGAAGTGATAGCTACAAATATATGCGTAGGAGAGTCTGGAATTTGCTTGTAAAATGTCAAATTTGCTCTTGGACATAATTCTATGTTTCTTTTCACAAGAGGGCAGTTGGGATTCCAGTATACGTTAGTGTTTAGTTGGCTGGGGTGATCTATCAAATTCCATGGCCAATTGGGCTTTTTCTCCCCATGTACAATATAAAATATTTAATTTCATACTGATTTTTTCAATGCATTAGGATTCAACACAAAAGGCACAAAATAAATAGATATTATTAAATAAACGGAAATTATGATTTCAAGCTTTGTGTGGAGTTATAGTTCACTGTTTTGTTACTTTTTCCAATTCAATTTGACAGACTTAGTAAATAGCACCCAACTGTTTAACTGAGGTAGATCCACATTGTAAAGAAAGCTGGGTCCCCTCCATTTTATGTCTAAATTTAAGATGCTTTTACAAAAACAAAAATCCATTTAATCATATGCAGAAGCAATGACAGGTGGCACTACCGGAAGAAAGCTTAGAACATGAGCAGGTTTGCAAAGGTTTGTGCCTAAATCATGCTCTTCATCAGCCATAAATACATCTCAGACTGGAGGGAAAAAAAATCAAACATTTCAAAATAACCCTGAAAAAGTCTCAAGACTTTCAGAACAGGTCTTTTTGACTGACTGCCACAGAAATGCACAATGGTCCATTTTCATCAAGCAATGGCAACAGCCAAGCCAGACCAGAAACAGAGCGAGAGAGAGAGAGCGAGAGAGAGAGAGAGAGAGAGAGAGAGAGAGAGAGAGAGAGGGAGCGCGAGACAGAGCTGTATCACTGAAAGTTTCCCTTTATAACTCTGGAGAAAAGACTTGTTGAGTTATGATATAGCATCTTGATCTGAACAGTTTAAACTCATTCTGCCTAATATTTTTGCATACTGTGAAACTTACAAATTTAACATCTGATTAAGGCTTAATTTAAAGTGGCATTACCACCTACCATCATGCAAGCATTGGACATCCTCAAAACACACAGAATGGTATTAAACTAAAGACAAGGACAGGAAGCCTCAGATTTGTATTTAGCAGGTACTATAATTTTATATTTAATTTTACAATTCATGTAAGCAAATGAAAAGTTATACAGAGAGGCCAATGTATATAAATACTAGTTTATACAGGAACTGTCAATGTACACAACAGCACTGCACGGCTTCTATACTGCAAGCACAAGACATCGTCACGTAGACCCACCGCACAGGTAAACGAGTCCGCAGACAGTACGCACAGTACCACCTGAAGTGAGGCCCTTTAGCTGCTCAGCTTCTTAGAAAACAGTAAACTTTAAATGGTCATAATACATTTTGATTCAAAATGTCTTCTAAAATTTTTTTTGTGGGAGAAAATTAAGAAGGGGCAAGATCTACCTATGGAACTTTTGAATTCATTTTTGTTTTTTTCAATTATTTTATAAAAATAAAATAAAACTAGAAAAGTCGATAAAACTCAGGGTTAAAACCCCTCAATACATACTAGGTAAGTAATCTGAAGTGTACCAGAGGTAAGAAAAAATCTGGATTTAGACGCTACATTCTTGTATTTAATGAATAATTAGCCACTTTGCTGCACAGAAACTTACAATTATTCCCTTAAAACTTTTTAAAAAGTAAAAGCTCACTTGCCGCTACAGTTACAAAACATGAATTTATACCTTCAACAACTACATGTAAAATCCACTATCAAACTCAGGAGGCGAATTTCAGTTCAGTGCTAAACCGCAGACTTCCAGGGTTTTAGTCGCGTGTCTATTTGGCTTTGAAGAGGAGCCCACGTCATCGCTGTGTTACGGCCCCCCAAAGCCGCCCGCAGCCCCCCCGGTGCCTGGTGCCTCTGCCTTTCAGAACAGAGGATATGGGGGAGACGGAAGGGCCAAGAGCTGCCACCTTGAAGGCTTTTCTAGACAGTTTAAAATAAGTAACACTGGGCTATTTCCCCCGCTTAAAACCATCCACTGACAGAGAAGGGTGGCTTTTAACTAGACCGTTGGCCAAGAAAACTGCTCAACTCAATACCTGGCTTGGAAAAGTCAGAGCTAAAACCCGCATCTTCGAGACATCAAAACCCGAGTCCTCCGTGCACAGCTCCAGGTGACACCACTCCCGAGGAAGCAGTTTCCCAGCACGTCACAAAACAACAACAACGCGGGGCACTCCGACAACTGAAATGGCACCTGACATCTGAGGACTTCCCACGCATTTTACAAAGACAGGACTCCGATTCCAATTCCTTTTTGAAAACAATCTAGTTCCATTACGCTCAACATTCTCATTGAGTGACCTTGAGAACAAACCCCCCAGGTTTGCCGGCGGTCACGGTCAGCACCCGACTAGGAGCGGGGTCCTGTGGACGGACGTGCTCAGGGCCTGGGAGGAGCCACGCGGCCAGAACCCGGCGATTTCCCGCAGGAGCCAGTGCCCAGGAGCCGAGGAGCGGTGCGGCTTCCAAGGCAGAGCGCCGGTGCCTGAGCGTGCGCCGGGCCAGGCTTCCTTCCCAACAACGCAGCCGCACCGTGGTTTCGAAAGGACACTGAGGACTGGACTTGAAAGGCACGGAGGCTGAGACGGGGTCTCCAGAACACGTTCAGTCTGGCACCCCTGGCCTCTGGAGGCCAGGGGAGGCCTGGGCACCGTCTGCCCCCTGGGTCAGAGGGGCTGCCCTCTCCCACCCCGCAGCATCGTTCCCAGCATCTCCAGAGTCCAGAGGAGCCCTGGGCCCCCCAGTTCCGTCCAGCGGGGCCGGGCAGCCCATCCGCATCGCACCCCCCCCCCCACAGCCCGGTAGGTGGTGGTGGGCGGCGAGGGGGCACATTCCTAGCATCAACTCGTGGTTCTGAGGACCTTGAAGATTCCGGAAGTACCGAATGAGGCTGGCCTGAACATCGAGCTCCTGGAGACACTTGGGGGGGGGGGGGGAGGAGTCAATATTTGGTGTTGCAGCTTTAACTCTGAACTACTTGAGGCCAAGGAAGTTGTAACTAGGAGATCATTCAGCCTCCTCCAACCGCCTAAAGAAGGGGGGTGAGGTGAGGACCCAAGCCTACAGTCACACCACCAAGGGCGTTTAAAGATCTAACGCACCTGAATTTTTCACATCAACCAATAAGACAGAAAAGTATTAACAAAAGCACCAGTAATCTTCAGTTCCCTCATCTTTAATGATCTTTCATGAACGCAAAGATGCTGGGGGAGGCCCACGTCGGGACGCTGGGGACACGAGTGCAGAAGGCAGGTGGGAGATCTGAGTCAACGGCTGACATCACTCACTAAAGCGAGGAGCCGGCCGCCGCGCAGCGGCCCCCGAGAAGCCCTGTACGGGTTTCTGGCTGAAAATGAGGCCACTTCAGCGGAGCCCAGCAACCCCAGAAGCAGGTCAGCAGAGGTAGCGGACGCTCCCCAGTGTCCACGCTTCTCAGGGTGGTCTGTGTCTATAGGACAGCACGACTGCAGAATTACACATTCTTAGACTGCAAAGGACACTTGGTGCTTTCGGAATTAAAGCGCAGCACGCGGCGTTGAAGGCCAGGACTTCCTCGTAATGGCACACCTGGAACCTCTCTGGGCCAAAGTCAAGGTCTGATGAGCGCCCAGAAGAGAGCGGAGCCGCCTCCTCACACCCAGACGCCTGCAACTGCAACACCGCCCAACTGTCCCTCCAGAACTCAGGAGCAAACCAGCGCAAGTGATCGGGAGCAAAAGCTCACCTTCTGAAGACGAGAGAACACGAGGAACCTAAAGAAAAGACGCGAAGGAGCAGGGGGGCGACACTGACCAACCCACAGCAGCGTGCGAGCAGATGAGATTTCTGACAGCAAAGTGGTTCATGACACGTGATGCCGAGCTCTCCCAGGCCAGTCTTCCCGCAGGCTGGCATCCTGGTCCAGGGCGCCAGCAGCAGGAACCCCTACTTCAAGACGCTGCCGCCCTGGACCCTGTGCTCCTTTCAAGCAAAGGGCCTTGGATTTGAACAGAACCTTTTGCTTTCAAACCTTAGCTCACTTTTAAGTATAGCGTGATTAGTAACTCAAGGCTCCCAAGTCAAAGGTCAACGACATCTGCACTGCATTTTGAAACCATGCAGCTACTGAAGTACTATTTGCACAAGAGTCGGTGTTTAAGCACCTTTGTGATTTTACAGAGTGTACAAAAAGGGAGAAGGGAGTAGAAGGAGACACTTTCAACCCATTCATAAGTAAAGCAGAAAAAAAAAGTGCTTCCTTATGTCAAATAGGAAAGTGAAAAGCCAGGACAGTGGGTCGCTTCCAGGTCCCACCACACACGGCCCTGCACCTGAGGACGGTGCAGAAAGGCCCTTGTGTTTCCTTCCTGCTGGCCACTGAGAGTCCTAACATCTCGGAGCCGGGCAGCCCTGAGGAGTCCCTGGTCCACCCTGGACACGCAGAGAGGGAGGAGGGGACTGCCCGTGGGTCACAGTATGGCACACAAATTTTCAAGCCAGAACTGAACAGAGAGATGTTCACAATTCAGTTGATTCAGGCAACATTTTGGCTATTTTCAGTGTGGATAGCTACACTTAAAAGCAAACATGAATCTATTGAGAATTCAGAGGTAGCCTTTATCTGCGTTTATTTATTTATTTTTAAACTAAAAGGTATTAGAAACCACCTTCTGTAGTGATATGGCTAAGCCAATACATTCACTTTAGACAATAAAATGGCAAAAGATCCAAAAAAGCACTAAGTGAGGGCACCGAGGTGGCATTGACGCGACACTAACACGCACTCAGACGGCTGGTGTGGGTGGAAAAGCTCCTTTGTGTGTCTGATACTGTGCAACCTGATCACAGACAGAACTACACACTGTGGACTGGAGCACACACTTCTCATCTGGCCAAATCACGAGGCCTAAAGGAACAGCCTGCCTTTCAGGTCTGCCTGGCACCTATGGGTTAAGCCACAAATGACAGTTTTGACATAACAGCGACCTCATGGCTTTCAAATGACGGGTGACCGAAGAGAAGCAAGGGAGGCCCTGACTCTCTAGTAACATTGGCCGTTCAGATGCTTCCTATCCAAGCTGTCAAATGCTGGAGGGAGCTAGCAGCAAATGCTTTAGGGAGTCATGGCAAATAACGAGGAATTAAACAGACCAGAAGCATTCAAAGGATTTACAATTAATCCTCTTAGAATTAAATCTCAGACCGCAAGGAGAGAGCACACTCTTCTTCCAATACACTGCAAACTTCCTTCCAGAAAAAGACAGCAACGAGGCTAATCTGTCCTTCATGAATGGTCAACACACACACATACACATGGCTGTAGAGGGGGAAGGGCAGCGGCCAGCCCACACGGCTCTAACACATAATACTGAAAAACGTGGCAGGATCACTAAAACAAAGCAACGCATTGTATTACATCATTTCTGCTATCCTAAATCTATTTACAGTCATTTCAAACAAGTACAGCAGATGCAGAGTTGGACATAATAAAAAGGAAGCTGTCAAAAAATCAGTGCAATTATTTCGAGTTGAAAATTTTCCTTACAAAAGAAGTCAGCATGTGTGTGTAACACGGACAGCCCTATTACGAAGTCACACGTGCACTGTGTCTACACTGAGAAACGTCACAGCAGCCGAAACTGCTGGCACGGCAGCTAGAGAGAATATTCTTGGTTACTTTGGGGGAGGGCTTAAAATACAAAGTATTTGCATTCTGAAAGTGAGGCGTATGAACACTGAGGAAGTTTCTATTCATTGTACATTCCTTTTCTCATGAGCGTGAGAGATGAGTTAAAGAGAGGTCACAGGGAAATTTCTATGGCTTGTCTGGGCCACTGGGATTGTCCACTCTCTGGATTATGTCAACGTCTAAAGCTCCTCCTAATGGAACTGCCTTAGGTGTAGGAAAATGCCCATGAAAAATCCTCTGAACTGCCCAACAGATCAAAGTCCCACTCAAGGACTCCATCCAGATCCTGACGGGTGGCTCCATGAAACAGCCTAGTGCTTCCACGGCGCCAAGCAACGAAGAGAAGCCGCCCCAGCCTTCAGAGGCCTCCTCGAGACAGTCTGGTGTCCCAACTGCACAACGCTTGGCCGGTCTACCCTTAACATATTGTATCAAATATATAATCTGACTGAAAAACTGCCTTGTAAAAATAAAATTTAAGTCACCCTGCAGATCAATGTTAAATTACATTGCTGCGTATATAAGAAAAACAATTCATCCAGAAAAGTTACATTTGCGGCTTTCAAAAATAAATCATCCAGCAAACTCGCAGGTAAACATTAGGTGATTTATAAAAGCTGGGAAAGAATTTCTATCATATTCATCAGGTACCACATGCACTGGAATATCCGTATCAGCCAAATGAAACCAGAGCAGAAAGGAAACAATAAATAGCAACATTTGCATTTAACAACAATAAAAATAACATACAATATAACATCGACACCCACCCGCCCACAACCCTGCTGCAGGAATTGAACTTCAACTGTCTCTTCTAATGAGCACACGCCGGGGTAAACATCACAACAGCACTGCTTACGGCCAGACTCACACAGCACGGAAATCCCTCCACTTCCAACAAGTCCCTCCTGGGGAAGCCAGCGCAGTGGCCAGGGATCGCTCGTGGTTCTAGAGTGCAAACATCCATGCACGGGAGTGTGAGGACACTACCAAAAAGCAACACAATCTTGAAAAGAGAAAGCAGACCCTAAAGTGTAGTATCAAGTGTATATGTGAAGTCTTCTCAAAACAGAAAACCAAAACCAAAATAAAACAGTCCCTTTCTAAAAGTATAGGTATGCCCAGCTTTACAACATTTATCTGAACTAGGAACATCTGAGCTTATTATAATAAGTACACAAACAGCAGGATGGAATCTCAGCAGGGCCAAAGGGCTCTCCTACAAAACGGCGACTTGCAGCAGCTCCCCCGGGTTTCTTTCATCGCTTAGCTATTAGGGTGAGAGCTTGTCGAACGTAATAGGAAGTGGTGAAGGGATGGGAATATGTTAACTTTTCTTACGGTGAATATTTTAAAATATATTAGGAAGAGTACCAGGATAAGGGTCTAATTGGGAGACCTCTTCTGAAGAGATAAACCCCAGTTTTTCTTTGAAATTAATCCAGATTTCTACTTCATAATTTTCACATTCAGTTTGCTTAAAGCAAGGCACACCTTACTTAGTGGGGTCAGGCAAAGCCGGCGAGTGGACACCTCTGCAATTTGCACAGCCCCGCACAGGCCTCAGGAAACCTGTCAAACGCAGGCAGAGGCCGGAGGTGCCCGGAGCCCTTCTCCGGCGGCCACGAGGTTGCCCTGGGCGGGCGTGACCCACACAGAATGGGCAGGGCCCCTCTTGGCTTCCACGCGAACAGGGCTTGGACTTATTCTACTGCACCTTGAGGTTTTACGCTGTCTCAAAATTTATCCTAATAATGGGGGGGGGGGGATTGGTAGAAATTTGGGAAAACAGTTCTTTACCTGAGAAATTGTAACTACAGCCATTTGAATTCTGAACCATCAGACATGTACAAAGGTATGCAGCTAACCCAGCTGGAGACATTTGCTTTATGAATGCTTTTAAGTAGTAAAAGTTTTATAAAACAAGCGCAGGGCTGTAACAAGTACCTTTCTCAAAGTACTCTGGCCCTCTAGAAAGAAAACTTTTCCTTCAAAAGGATTTTTCAAAAATTTAGGTCTCATTTTCTGCCAGCCTGTGATCCTGCCCAGTGTATTCCCTTAGAAAACGTTTCCCTGCATTGCTGGGGAGTCCCTCCCTGCTGGGCCCTCAGTGCTTGAGGGAGCACACTCTCCAGAAGGCTCTAGATTAGAGGTTCTCGGACTCCAGGCAGCCCTGGACCCCCAGCTGATGGTGTAAAACGCAGATGCCCAGCCACCACCCCAGAGGCCGCAGCGAGCACAGGAGTCACAGCGTTTTTACGGCCAACGCCCCGACCACCGAGATCCTGTTGCAAGTGGTAGAAACATACCTTCGAGACACACGGTTCTAGATGATCCTAAAAATGACTGAAAACTAACCTAAGTTCAGATTTTAAAAGTGTATTAGTGAAAAGGTTCCCTCCTTAGCTTGAACGCTCCCGGTAACTTAAGCCACGAGTGTACTGGTGTCCTTCCGAACAGGAGAAGGTGCCACTTGCTAACGAAGTGACAGGGAATTGCAACATTTTTAGAGCAGAGGCTTCTGTCATTTAAAAAGACAAAAAAAAA